AAATTTTAACCACTAGCAACCTGTTTAAAAATAGGAAAAAAAATGTATGATACACAGTGTAGGAGGATATAGTTTCCAGGGCACACTGCGTTCCTCGTACGCCCCTCTCCAAAACACCTCCCCTCACACGCGACCGCGAATACCAATAGCGCGCTCAATAACAATCGCCATTGCTCGCCGCCACACGCGTCGTCCCCTCTAATGGGGAATTGATTACGATTTACACACACAAGTTATTGCGCACGGAGAAGAGAGGGGTTATCGAGCACCCCCCCCCCCCCGCATATTTCTCATACTTGTAGCGCTTTCCGCTGGGGCAAGCACTTTGCTTCCTTTTGATTTGTGGCGCTGGACGCCGGGGCGGCCGCCAGCTGGGGGCGTGGCGGGGCGGGGCGGGGCGGGGCGTGGCGGGGGACACGGTACTGAGGGGGTACCCGCCGCACGCCCAGGACATCAATCCTTGTCCCGGACCGCCCCGTGGGGTCCTGGCGGCGGCCGGCGGCGCACGGAGAGGAGAGAGGGCCCCCCGAACTGAGCAGACTGTCCACCCAAGAAATTCACTGCCATTGCGAGAGAGCGGCGCCCGGCACCGGCACGTAGTAGTAGTACACTGCAAAAGAGTGCGGGGAAAAAAAAAGAAAACAAGCTTGCTGCTTGACGGGGGAAAAAAAAGAGAGAAATTTATCGCAAAGGATGTTTATTCCCGACCAGCAGGGACTATACCTCCCTGACAGGGTAACTGGGTACTGCAGCCGCACCCTAGCCTAGCCTCCTCCTCACCACCAACCACCACGCCGCCCGCGCACTTCGGGTTGCTCACCTTTCCGTTGGCCGCCCGGCATTCCAGGCAGCCAGCGGCAGCGGCGCTGGAGGCGAGCTGCTGGAACTCTTGCACACAAAAATATTCGCTTTCGCAAAGAGCGAGGGAGAAACAAAAATGAAAAAAATATGAGAGACTCCAGGAGAAATGTTGTTGCATACAGTGAAATTTCGATTGAAAAAAATGATGAGGAACTTTACTTTGTATGTGCGCTAAGAATATTGCGAAATTCTGCCCCTTAAAAAACTAGGATCAACAGTTTTTCATGCCTGAAGTTTTGGTTTAAATCCTTTTGTTAGAGGAAGGGGAGGGGGATTTCGATCCCTTGACTTTAGAAGCGTAGCTCCACCTAGACTCTCACTCTGTCTGCAGACCCGACAGCGCAGATATAATTAATGCAAAAAGTTATTTTTTCCTCTTTCAGAAAAAAAATATGAAAAAGCAGGTAATGGCATTATATTGGCGGGAGTTTGACGTCTGGTCGCCAGGGGGCGCTGGCCTCGCATGAATATGGATCGCGACCGCCAGCCGCCGAGCCGGAGCTTCCAGACTGATAAATTTCAATATTGCTCATCGCCTCTGCGGTGACGGCGAGACGGCAGCGGGGGCGGGGCGTGGTGACCGAAGCGGCAAAGTTTAGACGCCAGCCGCGCCCCCGCGAGTGTGTGGCTCGCGGATCGAGTTCCCGCGGCGGCGGTCGCAGCACAAGCGAAGCACTGGAGCAGGCGGCAGGTGAGGTCGTAAATGAGTGGTCAAAATGGCCCCGCGAGAGACGGAAAAGAACACACGCGATACAGGACAGGCCGCGTCGACGCACTGTAAATTGGAACCGCAACTTTCGATTCCTTTATCTAGATGTACAAAATGTCCCCTTATGCACGGCGACTTTCTCTGTTTGTCCCCCTATGCAGGGCATGGATAGTCACCGCGCAAAGCGTAACTTTTGTCTCCTTGCGAATGGCGACGAGAGCGGCCCGCCCGAAGGTGACCTGTGTCTCGCTCGCAACGGCAAGGGAACGCACCGCGCAAAGCGTAACTTTTGTCTCCTTGCGAATGGCGAGGAACCTTACCCCGCGCACGGGCGCTTTCGTTTCCTAGGCAAGGGCAACATTTCTTACCCTTTTTAGAGAAAATAAATAAATATCGCTATCCAAGTTTCATCTCCCGCGTGTTGTCGCGCTTGATTCCTTCATCGCTGTCGTCACAATACTCATAGGCTGTCATCATGGTGGGTTGGGTTACTACATAGCCGCGAGACACGCATGTTGCTGGCAATGCCGGGAACCGAACCCCGGCCGTGCCAACTCAGCGCTCACGCTTCGTTCGTAACTTACTGAGCCATGGATGCCCGATGCGGGCCAGCGTGCTGGCTACACTGTAGGGGATTTTATCGTAAATTAACGAACAAACACCTGTTAAATTTTATACACGAAATTTTCGTTATCGCTTAGATAACGAATACTTGTTAAATGACGAAAAGTTCGTAATTCTTCCTAGATATGTAAGTCATCCATGTCATTGTGCACCTCTGTCAACAAGTGTGCGTCTATAAATTTACGAACAATTTGTTTATTGCC